GTCCAATGACCCTTTGCCCCTGAGCCCACTCCACCCCCTCCTCCTCTTTCTGTTCGATTGATGAATGGAGAGGAGATTGAAGATCAGGTGAAGGGGAGAACAGTGGCGATTACTACACAGCCCTGTAATTGAATCTGACAGCTGTGTGACAGTTGTGGAAGAGATACATATTGTATCTGGCAGTGCCTCTGCATTTAATTTTTTCATTAGTGTGTGTGTGTGTGTGTGTGTGTGTGTGAGGTTAAAGGCTTGTGCAAGACAGCAAGGACAAATAGTGGTGTATTATAGTCTCGACCAGTTCTGTTTATTTCAAAATGTGTGTTTGTCCAGTTGTGTGTTTCCATTTACATGGTTTGAGATCTTCATATTCACACACCAGTCCATCCTGTATGGTCATTCTTTAGGTTCTGTTAGTATAAACCACGTTTATACGTTTATACACACGTAAACAGGTTCTGACACATATAGCTACATTAGCAGTCTATTAAAGCGGCCATATTCTAATGTTGTATGCAATCTTACACTGAAAGTTTACTTACAGTGTAAGTCAATGTTATTACATCAAAAACAATTGCGATTAAACAGGCTGTTTTTGTTACTGTAATAAATATTAAAAGAGTTAATTATTTGAATTGTGTTATGAATAGCTAACTGTATGTGAGAAATACCAGCCTAATTCACACTGTTGTTCATCAGAGAGGGCTGAGTTGCAGAATACTGAATGGGCGTTGATATGTAAATGTTGGCAGTCATATGTTAATGTGCTCATGGTTGTGATGTCATAACCATGGTGATTTCTGAATCACCTTTTGTAGCAGTTTAGTTGCTCTAAATGGAGGGAGGAAGCTGTCAGTGGAGTAGATTAAACAAGGAAAATCCATTTCCATTGTTTGTCCTATTTCCATTTCCATTACATTTACATTTAGTCATTTAGCAGATGCTTTTATCCAAAGCGACTTACAAATGAAAAGTATAAATGTAGGTGTTAAAGGGATAGTTCATATAAAAAGAAAAAAATTTGCCATCATTTATTCACTCTCATATTGTTTAAAACCCACATGACTTTCTTCTTTCAGTGTGCCACAACAGGAGAAATGCTGCAGAATGTACTGCCCATTTTCCATGTGGTAAATTGATAGTAAATAAATTGGGATCTGGGTTGTCAAGCTGTAAAATGACCAAAAGCATAGTAAAAGTATAATTTAAGTGGTCCGTATGATTTGTGTTATGTTCCAAATCTTCTAAAACAACGTTTAGACCAAAAGTGTTGTTATTTACTGAAAACCTTACCCTCCACCTTCATTATCAAATGAAAACATGTCTATTTTTTTTTTTTTTTTTTTAAACACTGCACATGGCCTTCAGAAAATTAATGTGGTCTAGTCGTGGAAACAAATTCTTAATTCAATGCCATGGCTTTTTTTTGGCCATGTCTCGGACCCCATTGTAATGTTTTGTTTTGTTGTTGTTTTTTTCTGGTCATTTTGTAGCTCCACAAACTGCTCATTCTCTTTCATAATATGGAAAAGAGTAGCCAACACATTCTTCAACATTTCTCCTTTTGTCTTTCACAGAAGAAAGAAAGTCATACAAGTTTGGAATGACATGCAGTTGAGTAAATAATGACAGCATTTAGATTTTTTGGAGTGAGCGATCACTGTAAATAATTTGTTGCATGTTTCTGTTTGTTGAGACTCTCTCTGGAGGTCTTGACAAACTTGTACAGTTGTGTCCTGTCAAACTGGCAGTGGGGTTGCTGCGTCCTGGTGTCCTGAATGTGTTCTCTCCCTGTTTTGGCCAACACTTGGCCGTGATCCGCTGTAATGACGGGAATGCTGTTTGTATGCGTTTCCCTTGCTTGTGGCTGCAGTGTTAACCCTCCTCTTCCCTGTTCCCTCTCTCCCTGCACCAGGCCCGGCTCACCTCCTGTTCATCCACTTATAGTGTCACAGAGGTACAGCATGTTTTACACAGCGCCGTCCATCACCCTGCAACTAACCACGCCCCTCTCAGAGACTCGGCCAATCATTGCTCACACACCTCACACGTGCACAACTCATCCCTGTAAAGCAAGTCTGTCTCATCGGTTCATTTATTTAACCCCCAAAACGCCTTGTAGTTTGTTTTGTGTGTTTGTGTGTGTCCTTTAATTCATTAGTTTCTCATGAATTCTGAACTTTTCGGTCCTAAATAAGGATTAAGTGACACAGAATCATTAATTTGATCAATGCATAACATCATATGTGCAGTATTTTTCATAATCGATGTAAACATTTAAAGCTGCTGTAAGCAATATTTTGAAATACTGCATCATCCCAAAATCAAATAGAAATAGTGTGAATAATAATAATATTAATAATAATAATACATATTTTATAATTATAAATTATAATTATATTAAAATTAATTAAAACTCTAATATTATAATAAGTTATTATTATTATAGCCTAATTCACACTGTTGTTCATCAGAGAGGGCTGAGTTGCAGAATACTGAATGGGCGTTGATATGTAAATGTTGGCAGTCATATGTTAATGTGCTCATGGTTGTGATGTCATAACCATGGTGATTTCTGAATCACCTTTTGTAGCAGTTTAGTTGCTCTAAATGGAGGGAGGAAGCTGTCAGTGGAGTAGATTAAACAAGGAAAATCCATTTCCATTGTTTGTCCTATTTCCATTTCCATTACATTTACATTTAGTCATTTAGCAGATGCTTTTATCCAAAGCGACTTACAAATGAAAAGTATAAATGTAGGTGTTAAAGGGATAGTTCATATAAAAAGAAAAAAATTTGCCATCATTTATTCACTCTCATATTGTTTAAAACCCACATGACTTTCTTCTTTCAGTGTGCCACAACAGGAGAAATGCTGCAGAATGTACTGCCCATTTTCCATGTGGTAAATTGATAGTAAATAAATTGGGATCTGGGTTGTCAAGCTGTAAAATGACCAAAAGCATAGTAAAAGTATAATTTAAGTGGTCCGTATGATTTGTGTTATGTTCCAAATCTTCTAAAACAACGTTTAGACCAAAAGTGTTGTTATTTACTGAAAACCTTACCCTCCACCTTCATTATCAAATGAAAACATGTCTATTTTTTTTTTTTTTTTTTTAAACACTGCACATGGCCTTCAGAAAATTAATGTGGTCTAGTCGTGGAAACAAATTCTTAATTCAATGCCATGGCTTTTTTTTGGCCATGTCTCGGACCCCATTGTAATGTTTTGTTTTGTTGTTGTTTTTTTCTGGTCATTTTGTAGCTCCACAAACTGCTCATTCTCTTTCATAATATGGAAAAGAGTAGCCAACACATTCTTCAACATTTCTCCTTTTGTCTTTCACAGAAGAAAGAAAGTCATACAAGTTTGGAATGACATGCAGTTGAGTAAATAATGACAGCATTTAGATTTTTTGGAGTGAGCGATCACTGTAAATAATTTGTTGCATGTTTCTGTTTGTTGAGACTCTCTCTGGAGGTCTTGACAAACTTGTACAGTTGTGTCCTGTCAAACTGGCAGTGGGGTTGCTGCGTCCTGGTGTCCTGAATGTGTTCTCTCCCTGTTTTGGCCAACACTTGGCCGTGATCCGCTGTAATGACGGGAATGCTGTTTGTATGCGTTTCCCTTGCTTGTGGCTGCAGTGTTAACCCTCCTCTTCCCTGTTCCCTCTCTCCCTGCACCAGGCCCGGCTCACCTCCTGTTCATCCACTTATAGTGTCACAGAGGTACAGCATGTTTTACACAGCGCCGTCCATCACCCTGCAACTAACCACGCCCCTCTCAGAGACTCGGCCAATCATTGCTCACACACCTCACACGTGCACAACTCATCCCTGTAAAGCAAGTCTGTCTCATCGGTTCATTTATTTAACCCCCAAAACGCCTTGTAGTTTGTTTTGTGTGTTTGTGTGTGTCCTTTAATTCATTAGTTTCTCATGAATTCTGAACTTTTCGGTCCTAAATAAGGATTAAGTGACACAGAATCATTAATTTGATCAATGCATAACATCATATGTGCAGTATTTTTCATAATCGATGTAAACATTTAAAGCTGCTGTAAGCAATATTTTGAAATACTGCATCATCCCAAAATCAAATAGAAATAGTGTGAATAATAATAATATTAATAATAATAATACATATTTTATAATTATAAATTATAATTATATTAAAATTAATTAAAACTCTAATATTATAATAAGTTATTATTATTATTATTTCCTATTATTCTAAAAGTTGATTCTCATTATTGTAATAGTCTTTAAAACATTCGTTTTTTTTTTTTATTTCATATAGCTAACAAATGCTATCATGATTCATAAATAATGTTCATTTTACAACTTTTATAGATAATATAATACCATTTAAATGATACATCATCATTTTTCAAATTACGGTAACGAAAATTAGATTTTTTTTACATTGGGGTATGTATTTTTACATTTTTGAGTGAAATCAAGACCTGTTCTTGAAAGGTTTGATCAGATTCACACTTGGAGGGCGGGTTTTTGGAACGAGTGTTTGAAGGGATGGACGATGGCGGCGGAAGTTAGCATGATGGCTAAATTGCTTACAGCAGCTTTAATGAGCACCTAACACACTCTTGTTCCTCAAGACATTTATTTCTCATAAAATGGTACTTTTTTGCAACACGTCCAGTTTCATAAAGTTGGCGGGGTTATAGAAATGAGCTTTAATACAATCCCAAGTGCTCATTATCCACGGAAGCCTCTTTTGTTCTTGGAAATCAGGTGAAAGGTCAGCGTAACACACAGAGACACGCTGCAGCTGCTTTGCTCCTCTTTGGTTGCGTAGTAGTAGTGGGATTATTTTGCTGTTATGACTTCGCTTGATTCCCCTTCATATTTTTCATTTCAGTGTTAGATGATCCTTAGAGTGTGTGTTTGTGACAGTGTATATTGTGAAGTGTGTGTGTGTGTATTTGTTGATGGGGAAGGCTGTATCAGGTGAGTTACTGTCCTGTGGCTTCCTCCAGGCCTCACGGAGAGAGTTCAGGGCTCACCTGGATGAGGTCATCACGCTCAAGTCAAGGTACTCTACCTTGGACCAGGTAAACAGATTAATCTTCACATAAATCAACACTCAGCCAATCACACATACAGACATGCACTAAAGTCTTCCCTCAGAGTGTTGCACGCGGCCCACTGCCTACTGATGTAGCATCAGGGCAGTTTGTTTTGTTATAGCTTTATCTTCTTGTCTTAAACAATATCTGTCTCTCTCTCTAGCTCTGTTCCAAAACCTAGTCGGCTGCCTTGTTGTCTAGCTATCAACTACAGAAGTGACTAACTTCTTAGCGCTTCCACTCCAATCTAATTTTTGGATTAGATAAAATTTGTATCAATACCTTTTGGTATTAAATATATTTAGAATCAAAATTTTTCTTGACTTTTCAGCAATCTTGCATGGACTTTTCCCCAAAGAATTTGTCGCAGTACATTTTGTGATTGCCACATTCTTTCTTCTTACAGTTTGGCCAAATTAAGTTATTTTAGAAGGCAACATAATTATTAAACTCTTTTAGCTAATTTTATATGTAAAGTTTTGCGTTTTCTTTCCTTAAAAACAGTGAACCCATAAAGCTTATATAATATAATATAATATAATGTAATACAATATTTACTTTTTAAATTTATTTTCACGTTTTCTTTCCTTAAAAACTGTTTTTTTATTTAAATTTTTATTTATTTTACTTTACTTTACTTTACTTTACTTAAATGCATTCAGTTTTACTGCATTCATTACTTTCCTTGGGAACAATGCTCATTGTACAGGGAGGTTAGTGAATTATTTGAATTAAATAAAATATGAATATTTAATTAATCTTAATATTTAAAACATCTCATGATATTTTAATATACATTTTAACTTAATATAATACATTTCAGATTTAAGCAAGTTCAACATTTGATATTAATCACGTTATCTACAAAAGTTTTTGCAATTAATTATTTTAATCAACTAATATGATAGTTCTATCTTTATAATCATTCAGCCTGCCTTTTGGAGCAGCTTTCGTGTTGAAAGTGACTTGGTTTTGGCCACTAGGTTTTGGAAAAGAGCCTCTCTTTCCCCCTCTTTCTCACTTTTTCTCTTCATCCCTCTTTCTGAGCTAATAAAATGGCTCGCCAGCATTACAGCTGTTAGTTCCCATACTGTCTTATCCACCATTTCTGATTGGTTAATCACAGAGCGGAGTTCCTCTTATTGGGCCTGACACTCACTTGTTAATAATTCATTCCCCATTGCTGTTCCCCAATTACTCCATCTGCATTTCAGTGGTCAGGGATTAACTCTCATCTGCCTGTATGCTGACACATGGTTCCCCACCTCTTGTGTGTGTGAGGACGTGTCTGTTTGTGAGCGTGTGTTTTCAGTCCACTGAGTTCTTTGGTCCGGCTCTGATTTAAAGAGACCTGACGTCTCTGCATTGCTTTCATTGTCTCCGTCCATTCCTTCAACCCCTCCTGTGATCACTGGTTACCTCTCATCTCCACTCTGAGCTCATTCTGTCTGTTGTTTGATGAAAGGAGGTTAGTTGTACAAATAGGAGGAGGGGAAGAATAAAAAGTGCCAAGGATGTACAATTTTCCTTGCCTGTACTTACAGGACTGGGTAAAAAAATGGCTTGTTAACAGCACACTACCAGTCTTAGATCTGCGTGTTTGTGTTGTTGTGTTAAATCTAATGACAATGGTCTTTTTTTTGGTTACACGCAATACTGGGTTTTTAAGATAAAACAAGGTTTATTTTATTTTATTTTAATAAAGTGTGTTCAGTTTTACTGCATTCATTACTTTTTGTAAGGAAAGAAAACAAATGAAACCGATTGAAAGAGTTTTAAAACAGTATCTAAAACATGGGCTATGGCCTGATATTTTAATATGCCTTTTAGCAGCAGTTTTTATGTTTTCATTATTATTTATTTCTTTTCTACGGTAAATCTAAATCTATGATTCTCTCGAATCACCATTATTATAATCAAAATATATAAACAGGACTATTTTTAGATTCAATTTAATTATGGTTAATCTTATGGCATTTTTTAGTTAACATGAATAACCTAACATTTTTGGATCGCCTCCGTTTTATTTTATTTTATTTTACTTTATTTAAATAGTACATTTCCGTTTTAATGCACTCATTGCTTTTCTAATGGAAACAAATAAAGCTGAAACAGCTTTAAAGTACAATTAGGTAAATGCATTAATTGTCTTAAATAAATTATTCATATTTATTGCCTGCTATTTTAATATGCATTTTAGCAGTAATTTTTTTTGTTTTCTTCATCGTTCATTCATTTACTATGATAAACCTATAGGTCTATGGTTTAAATAATCTGGATGGATTTAAATAATATATTTTAATCAAATAAAAAATGATCATAATGTGTTATTATACATAAAATATATACAGGGCTTTCAATAAATTAAATGTGTCTTGAGTTATACATTGTCTTACATTTTTACACGATTTTATTTCAACATTTTGTTTTAATGCATTCAGTAGTACAGTTTAAAGAAAGAAAACAAGTGCAACTAACTGAAACTCACATTATGCCATTATTAGATAAATGTTTCTACGGCATTAAATTAAGAATAATTGGTATGGTAACCCTGATATTTGAATGTGTATCTGTCCATATGGTTTCTTTGTCATTCATTCATTCATTTACCCATATGTCCATTCCACGTGTGCAGTTCATTCAGTCCCTTCAGACCTCAAATGCAATAATGTAACATACAAACTCTGCCCTGCTCTGGTGGCCATTAGCACAATGATACTCAGTTTTTTTTCCGGTGTCTTCTAAAACCTCACTGGAACAGAAGTGCAGTATGTGGCGCACGATTTCGCTAACTGTCCCGAGTGACATTGTGCCTCACCGCACCCCTCTTCCTCGCTTACCTGTGCTACCTTCCTGGCTGGCCGGCATAACGACCCCCCCACCCCCCTAAACATTAGCAACAGGACCGAATGACGCCCAGTCAGATCTCTCTTCACCTCCCAGTGCTCATTCGTTGTCATCTCAGCTTGTTGTGTGTAAACCGAGCGAGCGCTGTCTCAGAAAGCCTCTAAAACTCATTTGGTTTTCTTTTTTTGGTCTCCCAAAGCTTCTCCTTTGCTCTGTCTGTTGTAAACCCTTTTGTTTCTGTTCATTGCCAAAGCTCCACTCTAGGCTGGAGGGGCTCAAAGATGATCGCAGGAACCATAGGACCTTCGACTCGCGAGTAACTATTCCCAACCCACGCAAAAAAAAGGAGCCGCTTCCATCCGCAAACTCTGCTTTGCGTCAGGAGTCCAAACTCCTTGCTTTACACTCTTCTTCTCTCTGCTCGTCTCTGTTTCTTTCCTTCTCTCTCATTATCTTGTCTGTAGACGTCGCTCTTTCTAATGCTCTCTTTGTTTTATTAGCCGTTTGGTGTGTTGGAGTCTCTTGTGGACATTGAGTTCTGTTTCTTAGATCTGTTTTTCTGTTCCTTTTAAGTTTTACCTCCATTTAGATGCAGTGTTTTATTGCTGTTTGCTGTATGTGAGCTGCGCCTCATCGTTTTCTTCCTCTTCCTGTCCTTTCCTAACTCTCTGTCTTTCTTTGCTCTGTGTCGATCATTGATTTGTCGTGTTGGTGCTAGTCTGTTGTAACTGGATCGTGAGTAGAAAGGATTTGGGACTTGCTTGTGTGTCTCCCCCTATAGGCCAGGGGCATTGCGTCTCAGCACGAAGGACACATAAAGGGCTGTTTTTAACGCTTTCATGCAGTAAATCAAAGACTTAATATCTATAAACTTCTGTCACTATAGCCTCAAGTCAATGTGTATTTTTGCATGGAATTTGATTGCCCTCTCATACCATTACTCTTGGCCTAAGGGAACTCCATACTTTATGATACTTTGTATTGGTAGATTCCACAGTTACAGCTGAATGTATAATCAAATTTGCTATTATTATTATTATCTTAAAACATTCATGGCTCATTTGGAAAGAAATTCAGCTTAAAAGGGGTCAAAATGAAACTGGATGGAAGGGAGTGCCTGAATTGTGTTCCATAATATGGAGCTTCTAGCTGTTAAAGTCAACATGAAATCAGAATTGTCAATATTTTTTAAAATAATAGTATAGGCATCTAATTCTTTAAAAAAAAAAAAATTTATTTCCTCTGAACTGATTTATCCTGATGTCTATTTTGACATTGTTTTAGGTTACTGTTGTAGATAAAGAAACTTGAATAAGATTACATCAACAATATCAAATAAATCTGAAAAAAAAAACTATATATATATTTATATATATATATATATCATTGGGAATCGACATG